TTGTGTGTTCTTTCTGATGTTAGTGGAATGCAGTTCAGTCAGACTGAGATCAGGTGTTTGATTTGGCTAGTCAAGGATATTACACCTCACCCTGAAAAGCTCTATGGTTGCTTTGGCCATATGTTTAGGAACCTTGTCGTCCTGAATTATGAAAGGTCCAGGGATGTGATGCAGTTGTCTCAATCTGAACACACAAAGCTACTCCGTATACCTCTACATTCATCCTGTTGCTTCTGTTTGTGGTGAAATCAATAAATTGCAATGCGCAAGCTCCACTGGTAGCCATACATGCACAAGCTGTAACAAAACCACCACCATGTTTGACAGATGAGCTGGCGTGTTTGGGTCATGAACTGTTCTCTCCCCCTCACACCTTTTCCTCTTTCCATCATTTTGATAAATGCTGCTTTTTGTTTTGTCAGCCCATTGAACTTTTTTCTTTTTGTGAACTGCAACCTGGACCTGCTGTTTTTGAGGCTTACTTGCTGTTTGCATCTTGTGGTGAATCCTGTGGTTGTGGTCTCAAAGTCTGCTATTGATTATCAACAAGAAAACATGTATGCCTACATCCTGGACAGCTTTCTTGACTTGCTGTTCAGTCATAAAAGGGTTTTTCTCCACCTTGCAAATGATTTTCCCATCATCCTAACATGCATGCACTTGGTTAGCCAGGACTTTTGCCATTTTTGTACATTTCTATTTATTTATTTACAATTTGCCCAGCAGTTGATTTTGCCAAACTGACTACCTTTGGTATCTCTCTGATAGATTTTTGCTTTTTTTTTATCCTCATAATTATCATCTTTACTTATATGGTCACTTCTTTACTCTTTATATTGACAGACAACTCCACTTCAGTATGAATGGCAACTCTCAAATCAACTCTGAGCCACGTGTGCACTGTTGTGCATGAAATAATGTTGAAGCCAATCACTTTTGAACATTTGAAGTTTGGGCACGTCTTTAAAGGGCTATATCTCACACACAGTTCTTTCAGTACTGATGTAATCATTCTTAAAGTAAATCTGAGACTTGGCACTTTCATGTAGTATCCTTTTTTTTTGTTTGTTTGTTTCAGATGAAGCACTGAGCCTGAGGAACAAAAATGTGTAACAGTTCAAATACACAACATCAGGGCTGTATAGTTCAGTAGTTACAGGTATCTAAATGTAGAGTGTGAATATACAGAAATGGCCAGTTGCATCCATTCCAGCCAGTGACTGTCCAGTGCGACATGCAATATTAAGTCATGAAACAAAAGATCTGGGGGTTGGGTAAAGGAGGGTCATCACTACTACAAAATATTGATGCCCCGGGTGCCTCGTATAATTTTTTTTTCCTGAGTGGGGTCCAGGCGCTGAAATGTAAATAAATCTATCAGGGCAAGGAGCTGGAGGCTCCAGTTACCACTCCTAACAATCAAGAGGCTTTTCATGCTGCCCTAGAGGGCCATTCCAGTAACGCTGGCACACTGGAGAGAGCTACAAATCATCATCTCTCCTTCACACTCCCTCTCTCTGTTGTGCTCTCCTCCTTCTGCTGTTTCTCCTCCTTTTGGACTCTGGTCTTTTTTCTTTCTCTCCACCCTTTTCTCTCTTTTTCAATCACAAGTGTATACACATTGCTGTGCTCCATTCTTCTTTTACCACTTCCTCTTCAGCCTTCCAGCTTTCTGGCACCTTCGCTTTCTTTTTAATACCCTTAATCATAATCCTCTCATGTTTCTCCCATCCTTTTGAATGCGATATCTCAGAAATCCTTGAGGGAATATCTTAAAATTTGGCACACTTACACTCAAGGATGAACTGATTAGATTCTGGTGGTCAAAGGTCAAGGTCATGGTGACCTCATGTCTGTCCTGTTCCCGTGAATTTGATTGGTTGGTGAGGCATACAACTGTGAAGCGGTAATTCTAGTTAAAGATATGTATTAGCTTTAAAACGCATGAGTAAGGTATTACTGATGTATTTCACAACGTAGAGTAAAATGTTTAAGTCTCTTTACCTTGTGTTAACCACAGAGCTTATGTCAGACATCTAACCAAACCAGCCATTAAAAACATAAGCAAAGGAACCACAAGTGCATAAATGCTAGCTCAGTTTTAGGACTTACTAAAACTCTATGGCTCTGTGTAATGTTGTTGGAACAGGGGAGCTTTGGAAGTCACTGCTGTATAGAATTCATTTGGAAAAAAGTAAAGTATAAGGATTTACAGGCTGCTATGGGTGTTTTTTTTATATATATATAAAAGACTGTGAAAACCATGTGACAGTAAGAGGTCATTGGCACTGAAGAGCTTACAGAGTTATCACAGCTCCTCCAGTTGTTGTGGAGCTTTATGGTAAAAATCTGCACATTGTCCAGATATCCGCCTCACAATTTAGCTGCTTTGATTCATTCTCAATGCGATCATAGTGTTTTTTTTTTGTTTTTTGTTTTTTTTTGCCAGACCAGAAGAAAAAGCTTAAGAATTCGACCACCTTCTCAAACAAAAGAGCAGACAGATAGATGGCATCTAGATACTTGACATAGTGGACCATTAATCAATAAAGAGCCAGATATTCACCTCAAGATTTGGTATAGGCCAAAAACAGAGCTAAAAGAGTTAGAATTGTTCTTATATATATATATATA